TTTTTATCACAATTATGATGGTACAACTACATCATCTAACTTTTGTTTTTTATCAACAGGTTTAATCTAGCATCTTTTTCAACAATTAAACTTCTTGGTATTTTATTATTAGCAAGACCTTCAACATTCCTCCCAATTGGTGAAATTTATCAATTCAAAAAGAAATTCATTGATTAATTTTATAAAATTTATATATATATATTATTTAGATTAATAAAATTGGCAAAGATCAAAGAGGGCAACTTTTAATGATCCAAATTTAGATTCTTTGTCTTCTAATGATTTTCTGGCTGAAACGTCTCAAGCTGGTCCAGCTTGCAGGACTAGCAGTATGATCCATTTGATATTGATTTAAATAAATTTGAAATTTCTTCGATCAAGAAACTTCAACAACCTAACATGTTAGTTCGGCGTGATTCTATCTCATTGGCAAATCAATATCCTATCCTTATATATCTCGCCATGAACTCAATTGCCATACCCACAGCCGCTGCCACCACACAATCTATCACCATTATTAATCCATCTTCCAACTCTTCAACTACTATTACTGTTACCCACATTATCTTCTATATTTCCTGCGCCTTCAATAGTCATGGTAGCTACTCTAGGAAATTCAATCAGTAATGTTAATTAAAGTAACAATCGCACTAGATTTATTACTCCCTTTTGGATCCACTGAATTTCTTTTTTTTTCTAGCTACATTAAAAAAGGTAATGGTAGCAATAGTAGCAGCAGCAACAACAACAACAACAACAACAATTTAATATTCACAGGCAGGGTTCAATAGCAACGAACTCAAATATGTCCCCTATCCTAACCTTAACTCAAAAGGAAAGTGGAAATACAAAAGATTACCCATCTGACATTGCTTCTTCTTCTTCTTCTTTATATCCTCAAACTGCACAAGATCCTCAGAGAGTATTACGCCAAATGATGAATCTTTGCAGACACATTTATTCAAGGGGTTTAGTTGACGGAAGTGGTAGCGATGTAACTATTAAAGCATTTGGCAAAGATTATCTTTTACATAGAATAATACTTTATCAAAACCCATATTTTTCTGTTTTATTAGAAGGTCCTTGGAAAGAGAGTGGTCAAAAGGCCATTGAACTTAAATTTGATGATGAAAATATTACTCGTGATGCATTTGAAATAGCTTTAGGTCGTTTGTATGGTAGATTAGATGAATATATATTACCCAATCGGGTTCTAAACTTACTTGCCACAGCTTCTTTTCTTGATCTGCAAGATTTATGTGAAATGTGTGTGGAAGTTATACTACGTGACATTAAAGATGACACCGTTGTACATTACCTTACTTTTGCTACAACCCATTTTTATGGAAGTCATTCTGAAAAAATTACTGAATCTTGTTTTACTTACCTTTGTAGAGAAGGTTACGATAATAATAAATTGAAGGCTGCTTTTTTGACATTACCAGTTGAATGGTTAAAAAAAATAATCGAGAGTGACGCGTTTTGGGTTCCTTCTGAATATGAAAGATATATATATTT